ATTGTTGGAGCAGCGTAAAGAAAAAGCCAGGAGGGCAGAGACATCCATCCATCCAGTCAGTCAGTCAGTCCGAGAGACTCATGAAGGAAGGATGGACGGCAGGCGGGAGTGTCTGTCCGGAGTGCAGGGAGCGCGCTGCTCTCCTGCTCCTGCGTCTCTTTTTGTCACCACCCGACGCTGCTCGCTGGGGACCATCTGAACGGAGCAGAGATCCGAGAGAATGCACGTCGTGGGACCTGAACCCCGGACGCACCAACGGAAAATAAGGGGTTTCCTTTTTTTAATTATTTGATTTCATCAGCAGCTATAAAACACCAGAGGAAAGAACATAAACGCCCCAAGTGTCTTTCTTCAAGAGGATCCTTTTAAATTTAAATGGAAAGCCATTGTGCATCTTGAGGCACCAAAACTGAAGCGTTTTTCCTTAAATCGATGACAGTACACAGGTGCAGAAATGGCGTTTTCCTGACATTCCTACCTCAGCTATTTGATTCCGGTCTTCTCCACGCTTTTGAAACAATTTTAAAGTAAGACTTTCCAGCAAACCAAAGGAGATGACATTTTACTTAAAGATGCAGTGGTCATTCAGCCATTTTAGGGCCCGGAAATCTGGACAGACTTGGGGTTAACTTTACAAATTGCAACCAGTGTACGAATATGGAGAGATAACAGCAGGTCTAAGAGAAAGTACGAAATATGATAGAAAAGGTCCCAAAATGATCGTGGCTGCATCTGTGCTTCCTTATCAAACAACTAGTAAAGGATGGACTTATGTGGTGATCAGTCAAAATAAGAGGGGCAGTTTCCATCTGACAGTTAATAGTGCGTTCAAGAATTTGGGATGTAGTTTGATGGAAAGTTGCCCAAGGGGCTATATTTCAATGATTTTCATCGCAGAACTATTGTTGAGGTTTGCTGCAACAGCTCAGACAGCTGATTTTTCAAAAGGAAAGGCGAATGCTAGATGCAATGCTGAGCAGTGAGAATGTTAAAAAAAACAATGCTCAACCCTGTAACTCCCCATCTTGTCGACAAAGGATAGAAAACCCGTTTTTGGTGTCAGACGTAGCCAACGCTGTCAAAGGGCGTTTAGACAGCCGTAGCAGGTGCACCCATGGACCTATACAATAACTGCTCATGCAGACTTGTGATTGAAATAATCAAATGCTTAATTTCTTTTTTTTTCTCAATCTTGGCAAAATATAGAGTCTTTAGCGACTGATTGTCCAAACGCAATTCTTGAGTAAACTCAAATTCAACCCCAAGAATTGTGTATGGACATCTGTTGCTGCAGACTCACATTCATCACTGCTGCCTTTGGCCAAACGCCACACCAGGACCCTCAAACTACAGAGAAGGCTGTAGGAAGGCCTTTAGTCTAGTTGTGTCTTTTAACTGTTTCGTTTCAGGTAAGCCACAAACCACATTCTGCATGTTATGGAGAAAAAGACGTGGGCCAATAAAGTGGAGGAAACCTTACTCTGCCTCATGTAATGTGTTTTTCGGTGTGTGCATTGTGGTCGGCCCCATTGGTGTTTACATGTTGTCGAAGATCTAATCAAGACTGTTTGTTTTAAATGTCACATATCGACTGGAAGCATTGATGTATCGACTGTGTTTGGCAAATAGTGGAGAGCAGTAGGATGGGTGCTCGCAGAGGCCTGCATGCTGCACAGATGCACGTTGTGGATGAACTTAAAACTGAGCCATCTCATCACACACATGAAGTCATGAACGACGAGGCAGATCAAAATGCAGGGGGGAAAGTTTTCGTTCACAGCTAAATTTCTTAATTTCTTAAATGATTCCTAATAATTTATTAGATGAATATTCTGAGAGCATATTAAAGCTAAGCCCTGTATCCTGTAGCACAGCAGATGTCTACAAGTACGAAATCGCATTTCTTGCTTCTAAGACCAAATCAAAGGCAGATGACTAAATGTAAAGGTGTTGCAGGACTGTAACAATAGAAAACTAACTAACAAAGAGAGGCCTGACGACTGACAATTAGGTGTTTTCATTTCTGTCTTTGTTCATTTAAAGATTAGTTTGTTGACTGAAAATCATTTTAATTATTAGTTAAAAAAATAAAACTATTTTACCCGAAGTAATTAAACATTCAAGCTAAAAATATTCTAATAAGTACAACAAAGGTTTTAAGGGTAAAGTCACAGCCACAAACAGCCTCTAAAAGCCTGAACATCTGGAGGATATTTTATTTAAAATGTTTTTTAAATGATTTCGTTCTGACTTGTAGCCTAGTCTCACTAGCTAATAAATTGGAAACTGCACCACACACACACACACACACACACACACACACGTGTGGTGTTGTTGAACATTAAGGGCTAAACTTTCTTAATTCCAGAGGATCAGTGCATCACGTTTGCTCTTCAGAAATGCATCTGTCCAGTTTAACAAGTCTTTTTTCTCGACTTTGTCTTAAAGGGGCGTTTTTTAACCGGTTAGATTTATTTTTCAGAATAATGGGAGAATTACAACCATATATTATTTTAATATTCGAAGCTTGTTCTGCACAAATGCATGGACTTTCCGCGCTTTTCCTGCGTGTTAGCAAATCAACAACACGTGTTTATCTTTGCAAAAATGAAGCCTTTTTAATAATCAGCAGATTGTAATGTAATAGAAGAGGGTTCACTGTGGAGCTCGATGCCAGAAACGCCTCCAATGGATGCATGTTTCAACATGCAGAGGCCAAAAGCTCCCTTTTCATTAGTTTGTTCAACTTGTGAGCTGCATCTCTAGCAGCAGTGTTTGGTTCACATATAACTAACATGCTCCGAATCAGTGCACGAAACTAAGAGGGTGTCATAGCAAAACAAGATGGAGAGCACAGTTAGAAGCTGGCAGGGTAAATAATCCCAGATTGCACGCGAATATGTGCAAAGGGGTGTATTAAATAATAGGTTATATTTTGTCAGTAAATATTATAGGTAAATACATCTTATATAAACCATTTTCTTTAATTCTGAGAAGGTGTTGCTCTTTCGCATTGGCAGCTTAACAGCCTACAGTCTCACAAATCAGCCTCCTGCCAGCCAGTAAAAAGAGAAAAAAATCTAAATCGATGCTAATATGTAAAATCCTAGTTTATTGTTATTGGCTGGTGCTCACGCACACTGCAGATCACAGGCTCTTTTTGACCTCAGTGTTGTAAGCTAAGCTGTTGGGACTCGTTATGACACACGTGTGTGATGTGGTGGCGAGGTCAGCTCGACTCTCTCTCACCAGCAGCATCGTCACTCGTGCTGAGCAGCCAGCCAGTCAGTGTGCAGGCCCAGGTAGGAGTCCAGATCCTGCAGGGCCACGGTGCAAAACCTCAGGCTGCAAAACAAAGAGCGGCAACTGAAAGAGAATAAAATGTGGATACAAACCTGATTTGCATATGAATTATGGAGTCTGATGGCACAATGTAGGCTATAACAGATCAAATTTCGGGATAGTGTGGAGGTGGGGGGGGGGTTGTTAAATCCATTTGATTGTAATCTTGAAACTTTGGAACCTACTTGAATACCAGGGGAAAAGCAACATTTTAAAATGGTGGTCTCTGAGAAGCCTTGAGCCTAAATGTTTCCGATCTTCTCCACCCTCATCTTTCACACACACACGCACACGCACAGCCACAGTTCCCGGTGCCTCCACTAGCTGACACAGTACTACATTTTCTCCTCTCTAACCCCCTCACAGCCTCATTAGCATTTCCTTTCTACCGGCCATTATCGGTCGGTTTCCCGTTGCAAATCGGACTTCACAACCGAGAAAAGGTTTTGGGTCGCCCCGGGCGTTCAGGGGAGGGCATCCCGGAGGCTAGACCTCGACCTCCCGCAGTGGCCCTGTAGTTCACACTCCCCCACCCAAGTACACCCACACACACACACACACACACACCCCACCCCCTTCTTATGAATATTCCAGCGGAGTGGGGCTACAGCATGGTACAATCTCCCTAAAGTCTTGTCTAATCAGCCTAAAACTGCAGTGTGATCACAGAGCCGGGCTTAAATCGATCAGATATAAACTATAAACAGGAATTATCGAAGCGTCATGTAAAATCCTAATTGAGAACAGCGTTGGGCTGCAGGCCTCTGTGTGCGCTATACAGAGCCTTACAGCTATCTGGACATTGTGTGACACTGTTCACAAAGATTATATAGAACTTGTAGGACAATAAGCTTTAGAAAACAAATTCACAACATGGACATGTTTAACACCCAGCAGTGTAAATGTACTACTTCAGAAAGGCCACTTACTGAAATACTATCTGTAAAATAAAGTCCAGAGCCTAAAACATTTCTAACATATATTTAATTTCTAATTTCACCATAAAAAGATTTCCTCCTGTCAGGATTGTAGGTAAAAATAAAAAAAATAAAATAGTAAAAAGTACATTTAAAATCTTCAGAAAAAATACACATTATTAAGAGTGCAATAACAAAAATGTGTAATTACTGAAAATATTTTTTTAAAATGTTAAAAACTATGACCATGAACACATTTTTAAAGTCTTTCACTTTTTTATTATGTATGGGAAAATATCAGAATACTAATTAAAAGACTATGACTTAAAAACTACAGTTTCCAAACAGAGCCAAAAAAAAACATTTAACACTATATAAATATTTAATACAGTTTTATAACACAGCATAGTGTAGCTGTAAGAAAATGTAAGGACATTATCGGCTGTTTATTTATGGGTCAACATCTGTTACTCTATAGCATCTACATGCCTGGTGTGTAAACAATGAATGACAGCGATGTGACACAGTTGTAATCATATAAAACGTCTTTAAGTGAGAATACTTACTGAGAAATAAATGAATAAAAATGTTAAAATTCCCTGCTTACATTATGCACTATAAGGAAATGAATTCAAAATGCTCATTTGTGGAGGTTGACGTGTTTCTATTTGTTTAAATTTTAGTCCACATGTTATGTTCATCTTCATGCTGGAAGACGGGTTGCAGGGAGATGAAGGAATAACAAACTATGCATTTATACTCATACCAGCGAGCTGACAAGTCTAACAAGAGCTTCATGTGAGTGCTCTTCAGTGTTCAGTTTGCCAAAAAAACAAACCCAACTATGTTGATATTTACAAAAGTGCCTGCACTTCCTGTTTGAATTTCCACCCACTCCTACAGACAAGCATCAGTCACTTCAGTCCTCGCAGTGAGGCCGACACATTCCCGGTGTCCAATGGGGTTACGCGTTGTTGGGATGTGGGGGAGAAAAGTGAAGGGTGCAGAAGATGTAGCGAAAAGGTGTCACAAAGATGTCAAGGATATATGTTTGAATGCCACATTCCTTCTCTATCCTCCATGAAGGGTGGAAATAAACACAATGTTGTCTTTGTCTTGTAGTTGGTAATCCAGCTCCCCCTGATGTGTAGAAAACACAAACATCTATTATAATCAAAGGAGAAATATCTGGGTTTATCAATAGAAATCTGTGTATTACTCCTAAGTCCCCACTGAAGTCCAATCAATAACAAACTTTTCATTTCATTTACATCCTGTGTTGAGTCCTGTAATTGACTCAATGGATTCAGATTGAACCGTTCACGCTGTGTATGCATGTAAATGTGTTGAGATATGAGACCCCAAGGAAAAACCCGTGTTGCCGCTGCTTCCACATTATTTTAAACATTTACTGACTTAGAGAAAATAAATACAATCTCAGTCTCTGAGAACATACACGAGAATCTTCACACTCATCTTCCTGATTTAAAGGTCCACAAAGACATTTTATATCATTATGAAGGTCTATGCATGCAGGCTGAAAACATAAACACTGCTGCACGCATGCTCTCAAATCATCTGACATCCTAATAGTACATTCTGAAAACGAACAACACAGGTTAAAAGTAAAACGATACACCTTTAAACACTGCACGATGCACACACACACACACTCGCCACACCACCTGACAGTGAACATGGCTTCTCTTGCTCACCAATAGCTCCCAGTCTGCATCGTTGATAAGCACGAGAATCCCAGGTCTCCTATGGGAAAAAAAGCATTTTTAGAAAGATGCATTTCACTAAGGTTTCTCTCTATAAATAGGGTATCTATGTCTCTCTCTCTCTCTCTCTTTACATAACAGGACCTATAACTCATAGCAAAATGGAGGCCGGATAAAATAGGCAATTAAATCCAGTATTTTAATTCTGAGAATAAAACCAACCAACCTTAACATTAATACACAACCAGTTTTACATGTGACAAAAAAAACACTAACATACTGATGAAATATATCAGTGTAAGTGACTACACGTGTGTGTTACATTAATGACACAGCACATTGCCACTAATGTTATGTAATGTAAATTGCTCTTAATGCAAATAAAATGAATTGAATAAATGCGGCTAAGGTGCAATGACAAGCGAGGAAATCAAGGAAAACAAACTGTCACTGGGAATTAATAGGGTTCTAAAATAACATACACAGAAAATATATAGAAAAATTACTACACTTGTAAAGAGGATAATGGGAACAGTAAGAGAGGGAGACAACAGACACCTTCGGGTGTAATCTTCTGAACAGATGTTTTTTGAAGTTATAGTCGTAACAGTTTTTGTTCATGTGGATGGTGAGATAACGCCTAAAACAGAAACTGATGCTTCTCATATTGTTCAAACAAGCTTCCATCCACATGCTTGTTGCTCTGTGACGTCAATGAGAAAGGACAGTGTGAGAGGACCCTCTGAGAACAAACATGGGTCTGCACAAGTATATACACACACACACAAACTGACAAGAGCACATCGAGCACGAACAAAAGAACAGTAAAGACTAAACTAATCATACAGATCTTTTTAAAAGATCACCTTGATGATGATTTAAAAAAAAAACTGTGCATGTACACAAACACCCTTCTAATCTATAAGGTTTTTAGGCAGCCTAGCCTTTTCTCCATTCACTGGTTAGCTGTTGCTATAAATAGTCCCACACAAAGGCAGCTGTAAAAGTCAGGCGGTCCTATAAGAGAGCTGTGGACCCTGGACACACACACAAACACATGTACACCCGTGTGCTTACAAACACACAGGAACACACAGACTTGCACACAGGTAATCATCTTATTGAAACCGTCAACCTGAAGACAAGACGAGGTCTTTCCCCTCGCAGCATTTTAGCACAATTTAACTGCATGAAAATTATTTTATGCTTAGATGCTCAACATCCTGATGACTATTCTTAAAGAGCTTTTTAGATCAAATATTACAGTCATATATGGAGGTTAAGATTTTGTTCCAGTGGCAGTGTGTGGTTTATTACGATTTAAGGTTATATTGTGTACACAGATCAAGTCTGTGTCAGGTGCACACACACTTACACAGAGTCTCCCTGGACAAAGAGCTCAGGCCTTTCCTTCAGCAGGTTCTGTTGGATCCAGACCAGCAGCTGCTTCATGTCCCCTGGAAAACACACACACACACACAGCCCATACACAGGCAGACAACGGAGGTCACAGGTTAGGGGTTAAGGGTCAAGGTGCATGGCTCCAGCCCCCCGGTCAATGTGACGCGACAGAAGCACCAGGCGGGACGAGGCCACGTATGTGTGGGTCTGTGTGCATGTATATTTATGAGTATATGTGTATGTTTGGGGAGAAAGGAGAGGACACTGGAAATGGGGGAAGGGCTGACTGATGTCAATGGCCAAGAGCAACACTGCTCGCCTTGGTTAGAAAGAAATTAAAAGGATGATTTATGTATATAAAGAAACAAATGAAGAGACTCAAAGCCCATCTACAGCTGGACGTAATTTTTTCTAAGTTTAAAATTAAGAAAAAAAAAATTAAGCCTGTTTTCTACAAGCACATAGATTTTTTTTTTTAAATAGACATAAATTCTATTTCAATATGGCCTCATATTTGTGGTGAAATGTTTAAATTGAAAACCAATAAGACTAACATTAAAATTCTATTTCAGAACAATAATTTTATTTATTAGAGTCGTACATTAAATGCACTGCTTCTCATCTGAACTTCAAAACAGCAACAGTGAAATTTTCTGAACCTGTCTTCTTGAACAATCAGATCGACCGTGGCTGAACAATGAGCTGATCCTCGCTCAAATCCACTGAAATCCTCAATGACAACGGCAAACACCGGCTTTAGGATAAACCCCCACTAAACAACTAGCAATGAATATATTATAGTTATACTTAATATTAGGAGTCAAGGTGTTTTAGGAGCCTTTTGAGTGTTTTTGTGTGTGCGCTTGGTGTGTTTTCTAATAAAACTGTTTCCATATAGATCTAGGAAAACAGTGTTACAATGTCAACCTAGAAATCATGAAGAGAAACACAAAACAATTTGAATATTTTCTTGGAACCATTTCCTAGTTGTGTGTATGCATGATCACAGCTGTATACTTAGCATACATGTGTGCGACAACTCATGATAATACTTGAGAGCAGGACTGCAACTGCTGGTAGCCATACCACACACACACACACACACACACACACACACAATGTCAAAATTAACAGTATGGAACAAAAGGACAGAAGAGATGAGGTAAGGAGTGAGTAAATAAACAAGAGGAGAGAAAGAGGAAATACCCAACAGGAGAGCAAGAAAAAACAAGAGCAGCAGCAGCAGCAGATGGAGCAGATACGAAGATAAGACGCCGACAGAGAGTCATTTCGAGCCAGATGTAAGGAGAGCAATGAAGCCGTAGCAGGTAGGCGTCAAATCACACAAGGAGTCAGGAGTTCAGCTGGATCACAAACAGAGCTAATATCACATTAAAACAGTACAAAGGCATCAGGCTTGACCTGAAATACATTCAGAAACACGCAGGGAAAAAAAAATGGTGCACTCTTACAGTGGGGGCAAATTTGTGTTTTGCTTTACTTTTCAAATAATTAGTTTATTTAACAACATGCAGGCTTATATTTTGTAAATCTAAAATTACTGAGACATTCTGAAATCTTTCAGAAATTCACCAAAACACACACCTTTTCTGAGTTTTCAGATTATAATATTATACAGAGAGGGGTTTTTCATTTCTAAACTGGGTCCACATATCTGGTATATCTTTTTTGTCTTTCCTGTGTGAGTCATCTCCCAAAGTTCAGGGTTGAATTATACATCCATAAAAACACAAATTACAATGCTCCAATGCCAAACCAGCAATGCTGATCACAAAACATAAAACACAAATACCCACAACATAAAAATGAAATAAAATCTAAGCCACAAAAACAAAGACTGATTCCACAAAGTTATAAAATAAATGATAAAAGGCCTACATGCAGCGTTTCACTTGTGGCAATAAAAGATTCATGAAAAGGGTTTTCTGGGGGCACCTGCCTGGTGACTATGAGGGCAGTAGACTTTGTGGATGATATGCGATTTGTAAGATGTATGAGAGCGTGTGTGCATTTCCACATGTGGTTTCAAGCCTGTGTGCATGATGTTCAGGTTAGCTGCACCGCTGTCGGCCATCTCAGTAGTATATTAATAGTGATAGTTTTCTACGGTTCCAGGCCTTCTTAAAAAAAGACAAATATCTCACCTTCTATCACACACACACACACACACACACACACACAGTACTAGGCAGTGAATTCTGACCTGCACCTCTACAGGGCTAAAAACAGAACTAATCACTTCAGCAATCATAACTCCTTCTTTGTGGTGACTCCTATCTGTGCTCTTTCTGCCTTGGACTATTGGTATTTTTCTCCACCATTACCCCTTATTCGCACTTTCATCCTCTAACCCATTTACTTTTTCATTTGCTTTCTCTATCTCTCTCTCTCTCTCACACACACACACAGTCTCGTAAAACCTCCTCCTCCTTTCTTTTTTTATTCCCTTGTCTAAGCACACACACAAGCAAATGTTAAAAGACGATGATAGAAAATAAACTGGTTGCTTAATACACTGGTTTGTATTAATTCGAACTTTCATTACTTAAACCTAATAATGCTGCTGCTTTCTTGTAAAAGGTTACACAGGTGTACAAATTTACATCACCCGCAGTGAAGCAAAGACAGACGCCTATATAAATGAACTGTATAAAATATGAAATACAATCCAAAGAAAGCAGGTCTTAGATGATAGGAAAGAACAACAGAATGATGAGACTCAGAGGGGAAAGGTTTTGATTATGCTTTGCGGGCCAGGTAGAGGGGGAAAGAAAATGAAGGAACAAACAGACAAGAGAGGGGGAAAATGTGTCACAGGCTCCAAATGCATCTTGGGATCGCTGCGTTGTATAGGTGGAAAAGCAGGCATGGAGGGAGGGGGAGAGAAAAGGCGCCATTTTGACGATGATTCAAAACCATGCATCTTTTGAGCGTGCAGTTTCCCCCCCGTTCTTCTCCTTTTGCTATTCAATCGATTATGATGGTCGTGGGGGGGGTAAGCAATCCATCTTTATGCTGGTGTGAGGGGCCAAAATTGTGTGATCCTTAGACCACAGGGGTTTTGTGTGTGAGACAGACAGATAGAGAGAGAGAGAGAAAGAGAGTTACAGAAAGAGAAAGAGAGAGTGGGGGGTGGGGTCTTTCAGTCGAGGGTCATCAATCACCGACTGGGGTCAAACAGAAATACGAAGGATTCAGAACCAATTATATCTGCCTTCACTGCACCCCCTCTGTGCTCACACACACACACACACACACACACACACACACTGATGTGTGAGGTGAAATTACTTCGGAGCAACGTTTTCAGGATCTGCAAACCTGCCAGACGCACAACGAGCCTGGACTTAAGACCACGATTAAGTAAATACAGCCAGGGTATGTTACATCAAATGTCTGTGCTCCTGCAACATTAGAATTATAAACTTCATGCATTATATGGCAAAAACCATGGGTTTTCTATTGTTGTGCGCACACACACAGGTTGCCTGGTGCAGCAAGGTTATATCTGGCTGACATTCCCTGCTCTGGTCAACTTTTGTCTTTTTTGTTGTCGTGGTAACATCAGCACCATGTATGAACACCCTTTGTTTAGCTAAATACCAAAGACACATATTGCTCTCATTTGTTCCTTCTCTCCCTAACACATATACACTCACACACAGATGCTGCGTTTTCATTCCTTATGGGGACTTTACATTGACATATTCATTTCTTGTAGACTTATACTAACCTTATCCATAACCACTACTTGCCTAATACCTAACCCCGCCCCTAACACTTAACCAGCCTCTGGTCCCCACAACGTGAGTGTGTTAATAGGTTTCAGTCCCCATAATGTAAGTAATACAAAGGCACACACACATAATGACCTGGGTCCTGAGATGGGTTCGGGAACTAAAATCAGGCTGCAGACAGGTTGTGCCTCCTCCATGCTTCCTCCAGTATAGGTCAATGGATGAATGCCTCTTCACAAAATAAAATAAAATTAGATTGAATCCTGAGGTGGAAATCATTTATTAATTGAGCACAAGTCTGCCAACAAAAAAATGGTCTCTGGCAAAATAATAAATAAATAAAAAAAGATGAGCTCTGTCACCATACTGCTCTTTTGCAAACTACATTCAACATCCTTTTTACCTCCATTACTTCCCCTGTTCACACACACACACACACACACACACACACACACACACACAAAGGCATTAGCAGTGAGCAACAGTCAGGCGTCACAGAGGCAGAAAGAATCGGGTTAGAGGCAACTTAGGCAGCCACATTAGTGTTAGAAAAGACAATGAAGGAAGAAGAAACAGGAAGGGAAGAAGAAGCAAAGCGATGGGTGGACAATAAGTTATGCCAGAGAAGTGCAAACGGTAAAATGTACACAGGAAAGACTTATCTCAATTTCCTTTAAATGCTAGTGAAGAGCTAAAAAGAGAGCTTGCATTCACAGTGAATACTCACAGTTAAGCTGACAGATTTGTGTACCTACTTGCATGGTGTCAACAACATATCCAAAAGTCCTGATTACACGTATGTGATACTGTACACATCATGTTGAAATCAATGCCTAATGGTTTAAATTTGTAATTTATCATATTTAACTCAATTTACTGTCAAGGTTGTACATTTAAATAAAGTGCTGCATTGTAGAAATAATATAAAAAATGTTAATTATTGCTGTTTTATTTACTATCATGTGCATTTCTATAATATACTGTTGTAATATACTTAACAGATACACAGTGGCCTAACAAAGCATTCAGGACCCTTCGATTTTTGCACACTTTTTGTCGTAAATAAAACTTTGAATAATAAAATAGACATTTTCTCCATCTATCTACATTCAATAACACAATGATGAAATGAAACCACATTGTTTTGCATACTTATTATAAATTGATTAAAAAGCATATTCAGACCCTTCGCTGTGCCATTCCAAATTGTTGTCAGGTAAATTCTGCTCATTTTAATTTAGAACGTGTGAAAGTGCTGCGAAAGGGGCTTTGACAAAGGACTAAAGGGTCTGAAATTTTCTGTAAATGAGAGATGTTTATACTTTTAATACATTTGCAGAATGTTCTAAAATCATTATGTGTGGACTAATGAGCAAACACTGGATCCATCTTAAATCTCCAGCACAACAAAATGTGCAAAAAATGAAGAGCTCTTATTACAGTCAGATGCAACAACAGCCTTAACTAAAAAATCAACAAAAAAGACATGTCAATAATGTATACTCAGGTGGCAGTCTATTAGAAGAAGAAGAAGCAGCTTTATTTTATTGTCACTGTAACATTGTGACATGTACAACAATATTCTGTTTGGAGCCGAGGGCCCTGTTGTACGTACACGCCGCCATCACGGCAACTTGGGGATTCAGTGTCTTGCCCAAGGAAACTTTGACATGCGAACTGCAGGCACCGAGATTAAACCGTCAACCTCCAGGTTGGGAGACGATTGCTCTACCCACTGCAACACTGTCGCCCCACCTAGGTACACCTAATTAAAACTAATGCAGGGTAATAACAAGATTCCTGCAATAAATCCCCCCTTCATGAAGGTGATAATGTTCTGTTTTTGTTGTTCAGAGAGGTGTTGATTTAACTGTATATGCTCATTTTAGAAGCTGTGATTGGCGCCACTGTTACACTGTCCTACATTAGAATTAGATTAAATTAGGATGTTTATGTACTTTAGTCTAGACTCACTGATAAAAATGGGATGGACAAAAAAAACCCATCTGTAACCTGTGAGATTTGTAGTCAATGGACTAAGGTTTGCAGAAACACTAAAATGGCACTTCCAAATGCTCATGAGAAACATTTCTCATCCTTGGATGAGAAGATGCAGCTGTCCGACGTCATGTGCTCTAAACACAGCATTTACTTTTAAGAGAGAATTTTTGGAGCACACCATTATTTCCTTCCTCTTTTTAACAACCAAGCTGTAACATTAAGGAAGAAGATTAAGGCTCTAATCACGACATGAAGAGATAGGTGATACTCACAAGGCTGTGATTGACTTGGAAGAGTCATGTGATGTTTCTTCACTCCACTAAACAGTAGTTCTGCTCCTCCTCTAGACAAAGACAGATAAAAAAAAAAGTGTGTGCTTTTGCAGCATTCAGATGTTTGTGAGGGTGCATCATCAGTTATCTATAACCAGGTCCGCTCGGCTATGCTATTTTAATTATATACACAATGTGACAGACATGTGGTGGTACAAGGCTAGTTGAGTTGAGGATGTCAGAAAATGAACATACTACTACTGTTTAAATTCTGACATCAAGTAACTCTCACAAGAAAAGTCAAGATTACAGAAAAAGAAGTCAGAAGATGACCATCAAGGATTATGTCTCTACCATCAAGATAAAAAATAGGTATAACATTTATCAACACACATAAATTTAAGTGGCCTAAACAGGTTGCAGGATTAAATATATAAATCCCATTTATCCCTGGTTTCCATTACTCTGAGCCTGGGGCAGTTTGGCAGACATGGAGAAAGGTTTTGTGTGTTATATGTGTCTGAGTTAGGAAACAATGGGTTTTAAAAGAAGCACAGTGGCTGGAGGTTTCAGGCTGACAGGATGTTAAAGGGTTCAGATGTACAAGCTGCTGCTCATCCGACGGTCGGGGAACTACGTAGGATGCTGCATGACGACCAAACTGCTATATCACGAGTGGGAAGCGGGGTTGTTTCAAGTCCTTCAAAGCAGGTCCAGGTCAAGTTTCAATTCCTCATAAACAAACTGTCAGTCTGTTTTTTCCCCTCTGATCTTTGCTTTCAGTCTCAAATCAACACTTTTAGATGGGTCAATGAAAATAGGAGGAGACCCATCCAATTCACACAAGAAAGAAATTGTAATGTGTCCACAAACACAGGAAAAACATATTAGCTGCAAGATGCCTTTGGTAAACTGGACAGGGAAGCCTCTTTCTTTTAGTGTGAAGCAAACCGGTTACATTCAATGTGTTTTAATGTTGTTCACTGTACAATGCACCTCCTCTGTCATGTTTACTGTAATGTGTAGGCTACATGAAAATACATTCCGTAGGGAGACTTTGCACATGTGGCTAGGCTGCAGGAGGAACCAGAGAGGCAGTGTCTGTGCGTCTCACGGCGGACTGTGAGATTATCCCTTTTACATGCTGCATATTGCAGCATGGACACAATGAGATGTCAAAAGTCGTTAGCCCGTTGCCAGTACTGTTCTATGACTATTCCACCCTACTCATATGCTAAGTATGTTGGGCCGGTAGACAATTTCACTCTGCTTTCCTCAATGTAGAGAAAAGAAGCGATTACCCGATAATGGGGTTTCAAAAACAAACTCAAGAGCAATAGACGGCTATCCTTAGAAAAACTAAGATTAAACATATAAAAATAAACGTATACAGCGATCATGCAATATTTTTCCTAAGAAAACATGTTGATAGGTCACTTAAATAGGCACAATAAACTATGATAAAAGACTTTACATTCACCTACCCAAACTCCAGGTGAATCGTTATGGGCGCCGCCATATTGTGGCATATGCAGGAAGTAGTAAAAAAAACCGGACGTTACGTACGTTGTACGTAACTTCTTCTTCTTTGTTTTATTTAATGGTGGGTGGCGACTAGCGTTAATATTTTGTTTGTGTAAATATTCGTTTTTTAAAACGTTTAATAAATTTTAAGCTACTTTAAATTGATTTTATGCATTACATTACATTACATAATGCGGACTTGAAATGAAATGCTCTTAATGTGAAGAGTAAGGGAACAAATTCACCTAAAAAGCCATTTTTTCTTCAGATATTTGATATCAGATACTTGAATTCTTTTTTTTGATAGATTATACAGTTTCCAGAGTTTTCATACACTTTTTTGAACCTTTTGAACATGGGAGAATTTTGGGCTTGTGTACACATTACTTGTGCTTCTGTGAAATCCAATAACAAGTACTGCAAAACTGGAATTTTGAATTCAGAAGCTTGGTGAACGACATGGAGAGGAGAATGACCTCAGCCTCAATATAAACAAGACAAAAGAAATAATAATAGACTTCAGGAATTACCCCTCCCCTGTGCTGCCTTTGACCATCAAAGGGACTGAGGTGGAGAGGGCTGACAGCTACAAGTTCCTGGGCTTGCAGGTGCCACTTGAACAGAACACAGCTGCCACAGTGAAGAAAGCCCAGCAGTGGCTATACTTTATCAGGCAGCTCAGGAAAACTGGTCTGAACCGTCACCCCCTCACTCAGGCTTACAGAGGACTGGTAGAGAGTGTCCTCACCACTGGCATCACAGTTTGGTATGATAACACCACACAGGCAGAGAGGAAGGCTCTTCAAAGGGTCATAAAAACTGCAGAGGGGATCATTAGGACTGAATTGCCTGCTATGGACACATTATACACACAGTGCTGTCGTAAAAGGGCAGAGAACATAATCAGAGACCCAGTCCACTCAGCTCACACTCTGCTCAAACACAAAAACTGCACCCACAACCTCAGGCACAGCAGAGCGGACAGTGCCATCCCACACAAAACTAGACTTTACAACAGCTTTTTTCCTGCCGCAGTAAGACTGATGGCAAATACAAAAGGGAGGCAACAGTGTGGTGGGTAGAGCAGTCATCTCCCAACCAGAAGGTTGAAGGTTTGAATCTCGGTGCCTGCAGTCCACATGTCAAAGTGTCCTTGGGCAAGACACTGAACCCCCAAGTGGCCCCCGATGGTTAGAGCCATCGGTTAAGTTGGTGCCGCAAATGACTGCCTCGGTTCCGTACTGGAAACAAATTCCTCGTGTGTAACATCCATCCATCCATTCATCCATCCATTTTCCTCCGCTTATCCAGAACCGGGTTGCGGGGGCAGCAGTCTAAGCAAAGACGCCCAGACTTCCCTCTCTCGCCCAGGAGGCATCCGAAACAGATGCCCGAGCCACCTCAGCTGGCTCCTCTCGATGTGGAGGAGCAGCGGGTCTACTCTGAACTCCTCCCGGGTGATTGAGTTCCTCACCCTATCTCTAAGGGTGCGCCCGGCAGAAGTTAAGCGTTGCAAAACATGATAGGCTATTTTTGGAATAAAATCGTCAATTGACTATCTGAATGTCTATTTCCAAAAATGATGTATTTAGGTTTCACAAATATATTTGGATCTAAGAAAGTCCCCTTAGGTAATTAATGAATTATTACATTTTGAAAGTTAAAATATTTAATTGCATAAACTCAGTGATATTTAAAATCTGTGGAACTGGATTCAGTTGTGATTAGTGCTGTGACTTTTTCAACAAACAAATAGGTGCTGATCCTCACCCGAGCCACCTGCAGGAGGATTCGTAAGGGGCTGGTGCACAGTGGATCGGGCAGCAGTCGAAGGCAAGGGCCCCGACGATCCGATCTCTGGACACGTGTGTAACATATTTGGCCAATAAAGGTGATTATCCTAAAATGTGAAAAAGCCTGTGCAATAACCCTTCGTTACCCTACTAAGTAGAATACCATATACAGTTACATTATGTGCAATACCATGTGCAATATTTGAAACTCCCCATTTTACCTGCTATCTTATTCCTGTATCCACAATGTTATCAACTATTTTGTATTCTTGGGTATTCTTGGGTGATCTTATATTTAGACTAGGTGTTCGTTCTTTTGGCTTTAAACTCTTTACTAACTCCAGGAGAGCCCTGCACAAGAATTCCTATATGCCTAGACTGTCTGTTTATGCATAAATGGCAAATAAAAATCTTGAATCTTGAATATAATTATACTGGAAAATTGTTAGTACACATTCTCACATACATACACTCTAAATATGCACGTGTGTCTGCCTGCCAATATTAAAGTGTCCAGATGCATGACTTGAGTTTGTAAAAGCACATCTGTCTTCCTCTATCCCTATCTCCCTCTTTCCATACATCCTCAGTCATACTGGTGACAGTTCCAGTCCCTGTATACAGGCCTGTAAGTTTGAGGTGGGGGTGAGGGGGGTCAATCATAGGTTTGAATTGCAAATCTGCTGCCTTCTGTTAGTGTCCAAACCCTAGCAGTCCCTTCCCTGTCTTCATTCATGTGGTAATGAGGAGTCATTGCAGGGGCAGATAGAAAGATTGACCAGGGGCCTGGCGGGGGTGAGGCCAATGTGAGGCATGGGTGAGGAGGCAGGCGAGAAAACGATGAAGGCCTCTGATGGTGGAGGCAGTAGTGAAAGTTTTGACATGATGAGCACAGCTCATGGCTTTCATTCTAGATAGGACGAGTTACAGAATATCCTCACTAGTGAAAACAGTCACGATGTGAACTCAGAGGGAGTGAAGTGGCAGAGGATGGGAAGTGGGTGGCAGTTTTTATGGCTATAATTTTCATGGCTATGGAGGGAGTTATTCAGGAATGATCACACCATCCCTTGGTGTCACATCACATTTGCTAAGCTCCTTTACTGCCGTTACGGCTGGTCTGCCAAGCTTCTTTTGTTCTCTGATTTTATGTGTTATCTGCATCTATGTAAACAGTAAACAAAAATGATCTTTTACATGCCTTTGATAGATGTACAAAATTCTTCTATTTAATGTAATATTATTGTTTTACAGTTGTAAATACACACATTTGATGATAAAGGAAAAAAACCTTTTATCATTTTTAAATGTATATATGTATATCTAGTTGAAGATGATGTAAAATAGCTGTTAGCGTTCATCTTTGTGGGAATGCTCAGTACAAAATATTGTGTACACAACCCTCTGTTAAAAAGATCTACCAATATTACTAATAGAAATTACAATTTCTCCAGTTTATGCCCATTTAAAATGTACACAAGGCCCAACATTTTTATTAGATTATAAATATAATAGTATCTATAATGTCTGATATAACAAACACTGTGTTTTTATTTTGTTAGCTGTAATCAGACACACCTCAGAATTGGCGCTAACATGTAGCCTATACTAACCATTGGCTATCATGCTCAAATTTCAGTGAGTTTAATTTGATTTTAGACATTTCTTGAATTTTTTTTAAGTTTCTTGAGAATTTTCAATAAACCAAATTTGCAGTCCTAAGTTTTCATGACACTACACAAATCTGCCTGTGTCAAAAGTCAACACTACTGTGCCAGGCACCAACTATAGCACAGCCAAGGTCACACATGATCTGATGATAATGACCAACACAATGGATAAGCTATAAAAGGACTGGAGGGAGAGATTAGGGGAGAATTGAGGACGGTTGGCTGCTGGCTGGCTGGCTGGCTGGTAGACCTGGGAGATCTTGGGTCTGTTTCAATAAGGAACATAAAGAGCTGAAATTAACATGTGCCATGATACCAAGCAGAGAGAATCCTCTTAGAGATTACATCCATAACATGTTACGCCTATGGAACTGTATGGAAAGGGGAGACAAAGAGGAGACTGAATGATAGTTTTCCATTGTAGCAGATTATGGGATATTCTAGTCTGTCCTATTCTGTTTGTATTGTTCCTTTCTGTTCCACATAGCATCTTTCTTAATATCACAAATGCAGTATTTCTTTCACTTTCTGTTTTTCTCAGAACATTTTTCAGCTGGAATAACCCCCCCACCCCTTGTGCCCACAAGTGCAACAGCAGTATTCCTGCAGCATCTGTGTTATGGCATACATACACACATTGAGAAAAGCACATATTGATACACAAATACACACATGCACAAAGCCAAACATACACTCACACTTAAATTGATGGACACACATGCAGACACACACACACACACACAATCCCTCTGTCCTTGTCTCCCTCCTACTACCATCACCATAGGTCTGCACAACATTGTCTGATGCACAACATGCATGCTCACTGCACATTTTCAGTGAAACAGGAGAAACAACGGTGCAGATTTTCATGCATAACAAACACTAAAAAAGCATTAAGGGAGTAGCTGAAGTGTCCAGGTGGCTGCAGGATCCAACCAATGTGGATGGTAAGGATGTCAGTGGAAGAAGTCCAGAACCCACTGAAACTCAGGAAGTACTTCTCTGCCAGCAGCCCCCTAATCTAGACCAGAACCCTGGACACTGTTGACTGGGCTGGATGAGGGGCTGTAAAGGTATGTGACAAGGGTTAGCTTTGGTTTGACAGTGAAATGCTGTCCCCTGTTGGCTACCCACATGCATTGCAAAAGAATGGCTCCTTCGGGACAATGCTCCTTAACTTTTTATACCTATCAGCTCTAAATTAGTTATTCAGTAGTTGTATTAGTGGTAATACAGACATAGTAATAGTTGCCCTCTGTCTTCATTGAAACTGGTGGTATATGTATAGGGTGTAATCTTACATTTTGTAGACCAAGCCATTAATCAGTAAAAAAAAAAAACATTAAAAGAATGATCAATAATGCAAATAATTATTTATAACCCTTTAGAAATTGTTACTCCAGTAGGAATAAATTGTGCATTTGCCTAACATCAGCCACAAATGGTGTTCTAGTGAGAATTTAGTGTATGAGATTCACTCAAAATATACTACCGTGCCCATGTTCATTGTAATGAAGGAATATGTCTCCCAGATTCACTGATGTGTTTTAAATACTTTCTGAACAACAGGTCTTTGACAGATTTCAGCTACACAGGCAACAATTATTGGTTTAGGTCTTCTCATGGGATTTGATTGCTATACAAATATATTCATAACTATATCAGTACTATAAATGCTTTTGTCTGATCAAAGAATCAAACTCATTGACACAAGCAATTATTTTATTTTTTTTTAAAAGTGAATTTCTATGTACAGTACATAAAAAACATGAGATCAGTCCTAAATCATTTCTTGTCTTTTTGCTTTTGGAGTTCATGTCATATAGTCCTGTTACACATAACAGGAGAATCCATACACTGTCAGGGTGTTCCTGTATAACATTCAAAACGGAACAAATAAAAACTTAGTCCATTGACACTTTTTTTATAATCAAAGTTAGCAGATATTAAACTTAAACAAGCTGGCATCCATCTTCTTGGTCTCATAACACACACAATAAATGATGTCTTGTGTGTGTTTATGTCTACCTGATATATTGTATTACAATTAAAGAAACGGCCCCCTGTTGCACAACAGTGGAAGCTGGTTTGTACAGCTGATTTGTATCGCTGACCTCAAATATGGTACACAATACAAAGTGGGACAATCAAACACTCATTTAAGCACATACCTGATATACAAATCTAGGGCAGAATGATATTTTAGAATAATTTGATATGAATTTCACTCATACAGTACTGTGCAAAAGGCTTAAGCCACCATTAGTTTTGGTGTTTTAACAAGGTTGTAATGATAATATGTATGTAGAGATACTGCTTGCAAACCAATGATGGTAAGATGATGTCATGGGGTAGGACTGGATAAGTCTGACTTCTTCCTACTCCATTCAAGCATGTACTAGGTATAAGCAAATTGATATTGGATTAGCATTTGTTGGATATGTGTAAAATTATGTGTGTTGATATATCAACTGTCTTTACATGCTTGAAAGAATAAATAAATCAAATCAAATCAAAATATATTTATTTCTCAGTTTCTTAATTAAGATATAACCAGAAAATAAAGGAAATATGTACATAATATTTCACAAAAATCAGAACAAAATGGCTTCTACAGTCCAAAATCAGTATTTAGTGTGACCTCCCTCTGTACCAAGCATAGGTTGAATTCTTTTGGGGGTGACTATCTTGAAGCTATGACAGACCCTTCACTATGTTTCACTGAAAGGTGAAAGCGTTCATTCTTCCAACTCTTCTTCTCACATACTATCAATGATAAAACCTGAAAATGTCAAACCTTGATTCATATCTCCATAATAGTCTTTTCCACTGATCTTCACTCCGATCTCAACCTTTTCTCCCTGTCCTCCTTCTGCAAAAGTTATTTCTTGGCTGCTGTCCTTCCACAAAGGTTGTTCCTGATCAAACTTCTTTGGACTGTGGAAAGATCAACTTGGCATCAAGATGCTGCTGCCAGATGCTGAATCTAAAAAACTTCTCATTAGATGTTGACAGTTTTCTTGGCCTTCCACTCCTATTTTTGTCCTTGGCCTCTCTGGATTCTTCTTTAGAACAGCTTGAATACCACATCTTGATTATACTGTTTGTTTTCTGATGTTTCTGACATTCTGTAATACTGTGCACACGTTTCCTGCATTTTTTAGTTGTATTCTGATAAATAATTATATATAGTCAATGACATCGCTAAAACAACAAATCTCTTTTGCACAGTACTGTATATAGATCATCAATGCAGATAAGAAAAGGATAGGAGAAACACAGGATAGACATGTCAAAAAGAAGATGGTGTTTTAAAACTGACAAAGATCTTTTCTTTAGTGGGTCTCAGCCCTTGTTTGAAATGATTGCATAGCCCAGAAAGTTGTTCTCCAGCCCCCTCAGGGCCACATATGGTAAACAGAGGGAACAGACACTGAACAGCCAACCAAACTCTAATCCCAATAAAATAAAAAAGATCAAGGTCTTTAAGTCCCATGTTTCTGAACAGAAATTCAAACCAAAAACATTCTCTGTAGCTGGGCTATGATCCACATGTCCTTAACTGAACTGGCCTTTTTTCATTCAGATTTTCAACCTGACAAAAGGCGAAAGATGTCAGACTGTCATAGCCTGTCAAGTTTCATTAAAGCTTATCATCTGTATATTTCTCAAGTATGACAAATCTTGACATTTAAATGATTTGTTTAAAGCAACATTTTACTTAGTACAGCATTTATTGCTGCATGCATCAACCATTATTTTTGCAAATGTATAAACTTCAGCTCCAGATTGCTGAATCTCAGTCATACCAGCATGTTAATAAATGTTTCTATACTGAGTGAACCATTGCTTTAACTAGGTTAATAGAGTATACATCCAGTTTTCCTGTCTCACAATACATGTTTTAGCTACATTTTGTGCGCAAGACACAATATCAAATGCATTAGTCAAACAGCTGCAACAGTGAAAGCTCGCTTTGTCCTAAGTGTTTTTAACAAATCACAAAACCCTCATCTTGAAGCTGCTGCGTTACTTCTGCTTTCATTCTGATACATATATTAACGCTTGCCTGATACATCGTTAATGGGATTCAGTGGGACTGCTTGATTCACAGGGTATTTAATAAGGTTTTAAATCACGGTTCCTTCTGAATGGCCACTGAGTGATTCACATGAGTTTGGTGAAGCAATGTCCATAATGTTCCGATATCCTTTGATCATAAGAAATAAATAAGAAAAGCCTTAATGACACCCAAAATTAAGGAATGTAAACACATCCACGCATACAGACATACACACTTACCCACTTACTCACTCACACAGACAAAACATCTACAGTATATATGAACTATGTAAGTTATTGTTGTCATTTTTGCTACAGTGTGTGACAGAAACAAGAGAGTGTCTGTATTTTATTGGAGCAAAGCCAAACTCTGCAGCTTTGTTTGGCCCTCGGGGGATGCTGTACACATGTTACTGTTTGTACCAAGCAGAAAAACTGGTCACCTGTCTCCCACATCTTTCTTTCCACTCAGCTTGTCTCCTCTCTGCTGTCATTATAATATTTTAGTGCTAAGAGAGGAAGTCCACAGGGACAAACAGAAGAAGCTCAATGTAATTACTGGAGTCCATAGTGAGTGTTGCATGTTTTCAGTGAGCAAACCTTTCTTCTGTATTCCTGGTGCTCGCTGGACATTCTTTTTTAGCTGCCTCTTCATTCACTCTTACCCCTCCCTGTGTTCATGCTGGATTCTTCCACATCACTCTTTGCAATACAAAACAAGACCATACCACAGTGAGTGGTGAGTGCAGATGTTAGTTTTTTTTTTTTCTTTTTCAGGTTGGACAGGTGCTATAGCTCACTGTGGCGCACAGGAGGCTCTAGTTTGTGTGATAGGGCGGTGAGGACCTTATCAAACTTCTCGTAACGCTCTGCTTGGCTGCCCTCAGAGCCACGGCTGCCCCACAGGAGACGCATCTGAAACTCCGTCTGGAAGATCTCATGTATTTCTGCATGCTCCTGGAATCCTGGAGAGCAGAGGAGAGGAAGTTACTCTTTGTAGAAGAATCATAATGATCATGGTGAATTAGAGATTCACAGAAAACAAAAAAGTTACAAAAAGACTAAAGCTAAAACTCAGCTGTAGCTGATTTTATAAAAAACATTTTAATCCTGTCTGTTCCTCTGTTTAGAACTGAAAAACACAAACAATACACTTGTTCAAGCAGCCAGACAACAGAGAATTTAACCTGTGTGCCTAAGCATACATTCTCCCTCAGTGCTCAATCTCTCTAAACATAAACATCTTCAGCTCAACCTATTTTAATACCTCTGTGACATCAACATCTCCACTTTGGCTTATAGAACCGTTGAGGTAAGGAGCAGACTGAAGTCAGGCTGATCAATAGCAAGATACAACAGAAAACAGAGATGTGAACTGATAGCTATTGACAGACTGTTCAATAAAGCAGTAATGACCTCAAACTGAGAACTAATGGGAAGGTATTAGGGATCAATACAGTCAATATAGTAACCACACACATATGATCATTATCAAGTTAATTATGTTGTGACACTGGGCATACTCATCATTGATTAATAATAACACACTGACAGTATAAGATGTAAGACCTACTGACTGTACAACAACAACAAAAAAGATGTGGTGAGAACTTTTCTACACTTGGCCTTACCCTGCAGTTTGGTCTCAGCATTAGTTCTGAAGATCCCCCCGTGATATGCGATGGTACGAGCCGCCTCTAGGTGGTACATGACCACGTCAACTCCCACCTCTGCGCTCTCCCACGGCTCCGGCACCTCCCCGAGAGCCATGCCTCGCTCCAGTAAGGACAGGACAGGAATGATGTGTGGGAAGGAGGTGTTGGAGAGGACACTGGACTCTGTAAGCAAGTCGAGCCTTGATTTGTAAATAAATACACACTTGAACATGTTTGTATGATTCACAAGCCCAGAACTTTCCACATAAACTAGGATCTCACCTTTGCCATCGTTCATATTTTTTATGAAAGGTTTGAGGTTCTTCTCATATAGAATAGCACCTTCTGTGTGTCTCTGCCGTAATGTCACCCATGTCTGCTCCAGGCGGGAAATCTGCATTATGGGTGATGCAACAACAACAACAACAAGTAAGAGAGGATTTGAGACAAAACCCTGATAGAAATCTTTGAAGTTTTTGTGCTAATGATTGTGGCCTCTATCTGTATCTCTCACCTGCGGCAGCTCCAGGGCTCTCATCACAGCAGCAAAGCCAAACATGTTGCCCAGGTTGCTTTTCAACTCTGCTGCTAATTGAATAGTCTTATGGAGCAAGGCCGCCCTCTCCTCTGTGCTTCCTGTGCACCCGAGCAGGTCCACTGCCATCATGATAGACATGGTGTAGAACCTGAGGACATACAAATGTGCTTTTCAATAAAATGCAATAAAAGGCCATTATTTCTGCTGATAGGAAAGCAAAAAAAGTTGAGTCAAAGCCTATTTGATGAAGTTGCCCTATACTTTATTTCAAGTATTGTGCTTTGTTGAATAAGTTTACAAAGCATTTATTGTAAGATTTAAACAAAGCTTAATATATCACATTTAGTTTTTACCACGCTTGCTAGTAACATGTTGCTACATTGTATTGATTTATAAGCAACCATAGGAAAGCAGAGGAGAAAAAACTGAGGTGGAACAGAAGATGAAAAGCAATAAATATGATGAAAGATTTGGAGGGTGATGACACGAGGAGGGATGAGAAGAACAGAAGAGATGATCAGTAACTGAAGGAGTGAGGCAGTTGCCGTGTCATGTATAAAGGGAAACCGTGAAAAGAAAATGCATGTTTGTACCTCTCCAGTAGGTCAAGTCTCAGCTGATGTCCATGCGGAAGTGTCAGTAACTCCAGCCCTGAGGACACTCCCATCATCCTTTGCATCTCTGAGGTCACACCCAATATTCTAGCAACCTACCAAGAGTTTAAAAAGATGGTTAGGTCACATGTATGTGTGATATGTGTCTGCAGGTATTTCTTCTTCTCCGTGTGAGTATATTTACGTTTGCCTACTTTTTATTGGCTTATGTAAATACATATTTAACTGCATGTGTTCTTGCATTTGAGATGCATAAATTTGTGTGTTTGCATGTACCGTGCAATCCACCAGGGTGATGTGTTTAGCTGCGGTCCTTGCATCCACCTCAGCCAGAAGCTCTTTGACCCTTTTCAGGACCAACATCTCCAGAGGCTTATTCTCAGCTGGTAGCAGGCAAGACACATACCTGAACAGGAGTGATCGCACCACATCAGAAAACATTGAATGTCGGCAGGACATGAGCACTGAGTGAGTTTTTTTAAAGATACATAGGTTGCAACAGAATTTTTCATAACCTGGTGGACTCATCTGGCCATTCAGGAGTTTGGTTCAATGAATATGTACACAGGACATAAAGAACAATTTTGATAAGGTTCCCTTACATTTAGAATATTAGCAGTGTATTTACTGAGGTGAGCATTTTACAGATGATAAATAAAGTTGCTAGTGCACTCTGGTCGACAAACTAGGGTGAAATTGTTCCTACATTACATCAAAGATGGAGTACATGGCTTAAAATTTGCATCCCTAATATACTGTACAATGATACCAACACAACTGAGAGATGATAAAAATCACTGATAATAGCAGTCATGCAGATGTCAACCAGCTATTCAGATTCAGATGATAGTCCCACCATATGCATTCAGAATGATAGTCCCACATTCAAATGATGGTTTAGTTTGCATGAATTGCTTAGATCTCACTACAACCACTAGATTGGCTGAGCCCCCAAGCTGACAGCTAAAAGTGTAGCCATAAAGTAACTAGACAAAGCTGAGTGAGCGCTTTTCTGTACTTTCTATGGGCATTACATCAATTTCATGAATGTAGATTCTGCCTTACATAATGGACAATCAAAACTCGATCACCATAATCCAGATTTGGTGCAAATAGTAAGATGTTTTGTTCTGTTTTTAGCAAATACATAATAATATAGATGACATATTAAGTCTTTGATGTACAAGATAAAATTTGGCAGCTCCGCTCACAATGCATTTATAGTGGTTAAATTGTCAAGTAAATTTTTGACAGTGTAAATATTCTTTTCTCAGTGCATCTAATGTACCATGAATTAATACCCAAATTTCTTTTGTGTCAGATATTCTTTGAGATTTTCTCATAAAGCTGTTTTTGTATTGTGAGACCTTTTTATAAAGTACTGCAAATCAGGTTAAAAAAAAACCCATAAAGTGCAATTTTGGAAACCTAATCTTGAGTTTATATATGTCTTGTACCTGGATGGCCTGAGTGAGGATGCTGTTTCCACCTGTGGGGCACTGAATATCCCCCCTTCTTCCTCCCTTTCTCCCTCCTCTTTCTCTTCTTCAACTCGCAATCGCTCCACGTAGCTCTTAGTTGGGGGTTTGGGGGGCCCAGCGGGACAAGGTCTGAGATCACAGTAGCTTCCAGCAGTTTCTGAGGAATGTAACTGATAGCTGGGATGATGGGCGGGTGAGGAGTGTGCAGAATGAGAGGCATGTGCAGGATGGTCTGGAGGGTTGGTACTGTCTGAGGGGCTGAGCTGAGGGTCACTGGAACGGCGTATCACAGGGGAGGGTGGGACGACAGCCAGGGCCCGCCCACCTGAGTGGGTTCTGAGTCTGGTCACTGACAAAAAGACAAAGAGTGAAATGTTAAAATCCCTGAAGACTGTTTGCGAATGTGAGCGAAAGCACATTCATTTTTGTATGTCTAAATGTGTGTATCACTAGCACTTACTAGCAGTATATGCAGGAGTTGGGGTTTCCCCAACAGGTGACAAGGGGCAGCGATACTCCTGAATCTGGTCCATGCTCATTGCACAGTTCCGCATCACATCTTTATGATGGTGGATTGTTGACGGGCTGCAAACACAATATTTTTAGGATGTTAGTATGAATTTAAAGCTGGTAAGATACGGAAGGGACCCACCCAAAGCAGTGCAGCTCGAGATGTCACACTTATCAGTTTCAGATGACAGGAGTGGTGTGGTTAAGAAAGTAAATGCTAATTATTTTTGGTGGAGAGAAGAGGAGGACATTTTAGGTGGTATGACCTTCATGATAAATACTGTACTTTTATGAAGTAAAACCATATTCAGTGCTTTAAAGCAGGAGCAGAAAAATAGTGTGATGTGACTTTGAGAGAAAAGACTTTGGAAAATAAATCCTCAGATAATCACTATTTTTAGTGCTGGGTGTTGTTTTTAAGATTCACACCCAAATATTTTTTTTTTTGCTTTCTAAAGCCCAGTGGGTTAATCACAGTGGTTTTGTCACATGCTTTAAAAGTTCGCTAAGCTTCTAGACATACTCCCTATGAGGCTAAAATTTATCGTTAACCTTGTACACAATATTTGCCTGCTCCTTTGTAGATTCAAGTTTCAAACAGCCTTGGCCTGTCTGAAACTTGAGTGATACAGTGCACAAGTGGCCAGGTGAGCAAGTCATTTTGCAACTTCACACTGAGGGGACTAAGAAGACTTGATGCTTATTATTAGGGGATGTGCTAATAGTGTCTGTGAAGTGAAGGGACTGCAGGAATGTGGGAGGTAAGAGCACTAATTCAGTGCTAAAAAACAACACTGGTATCACACACAAACACACACACAACCTGCAGTTGTTCACAGGTTCCGGCTTGGGTTCTGGTGGTGCCTCTGGTGTCTCAATTGGACTGGGACTGTCTGAGTCACTGATCACGTATACAACATAAGGCAAGAATAAAACAATGGCTGTCAGGGTTTTATTATTGGCTGCTCAGAAGTTGTGTTTCAGGACAGAACTCCATGTGTCCCACTCAGAAACACAGACACACACCACTTTTCCATCTCTTGCCTCACCTGTGAGGTATCATCTTCTCAGTGGTCAGTCCGTCGGTCATGGTGACACTCCTTCTCTTGATGTGCGCTCCCCTCTGGCTGGACGGTGAGTAGGTGGAGCCTTGCTTACTGTTGGACAGGGCGAAAGTGGCCTCCAGGTAGCGCAGGGGGAGAGTCCTGCTGACTGGACAGTAGATATGGATCCCACTGGACTGGGATACCGGTTTACGCTGGCCAACATAGAACCGCACAAGCTCCTGGACTGAGTCAAAACTATCAGACTCCAACATATACTGCACCTGAGGATGATCAGACAACAGAATTCATTATTGCATCATTGCATATGGGCTGCAACTAGCTTGCAGTATGAACACTTTTAAGAGAGTGAAGAAGATAATCTGAGCCTTGTCTAAGCTTCTGTTGTGTTCTCCAAAATCACTCCAGTTATCACTGTAGATGGGGAGCCTAGCCTCCAGGTTTTGTAACCAGAGTGGTTACGAATGTCTGAGTGAGGAACAGTCCTAAATTCAATTATTTGTGCAGCATTTAAAATGAGGTTACACAGTGCAGAATTATGGAATAACTGCTTAAAATGCATATTAAAATGAAGCAGAAATAAACAAGCAGGGTGAAAATTGAGGTTGGGTGGCAGAGACAACAAACACACCTGCATCAAAATAGCCTCCATATGTAAATGGTCTTGTATAGCACTTTTCTATGCATTGCAGCACACTCAAAGAACTTTCACAGTATTTGGCCATTCGCACTCACAAACACTCACACCGGTGTTATCACTGGGAGCAACTGGGGGTTCAGTGTCCTGCTCAAGGACACTTCGACAAGTGTACCAAAAAGAAAGATGTTAAACAGCCAGCACAAGCTCACTACCTTGGTCTCATTGGATTTGACCAGGACTTTGCTGATCTTGAAGTGCAGCACCTCATTATCCCATCGACAGGTCATGACGTAGTCCCCCACATTGGTCAGAGAATCACGCACGAGGAAATCTCCATTACGCAAAACCAGAGTCTCTGACACCTAGACAGAAAAAAAAATGCATATGGTTTTAAGTTACAACACAGCTCTGATCCTAAAGAGCTAGACACAAACTTGGCTCACCGAGCTACTGCATGTGTTCTTCTGACATGTTGACTGCTAAATAATTGAATTTAGAAAACCATGATTATTTATGACAGTGCCTTCGAGCTGTTTGCGTTGCTGAACCAATCTCTCTCTCTCTCACTGCCAAACTGTCTCTGCTGTGCATAGATTGTAATTTGCTATAATAGATAAAATGTCAGGGACAGTGGCTGGAATGGCTTTCTGAGGATCAATTTTATAGAGTTCAGCATTATTGTAAAAATGAAACTCAATTTGAATTTACTGACTAAACAAACAATCTAGAAAAGCAATCTCCCTTTCATGGTCAACAGAGCAGCTTCAGGCTGCGCATCTTGCTGATACCCAACACTGAAGACGTGTCTCTGCTTCCGTGAGAAGAGATAATAAATATTGATCCAGTAGCCATGTAGTAAAAGAGAAACATATTTCAAAATGAGGAGTCTTTCCTTTAAAACTACCTGCAAAGAGATCACAGAAGTGTAAAGCTTTAAATTCGCTCGACACAGGAGAGGCTTGAAATATGCAATGCAGCATGGAGCATCACCGGCCAGCAGGAGGCGATATATACACAAGTCAAACGCTCACACCAAGTCCAGCATCCTCTTTCTATACATAAATCTGTTGTGGTGAATTGCTGTAGCTTTTTTGTATGAACTCTTACTGAAATTAAGAATATATCATGTTTCACTGGTGATTTGTGCACGTACTGAAAGTCTTAACTTTAAAGTGGGGAACAACACAACAGGATAAAGAAAAGAAGCTGAAAGGAAGGATGGGATTTATGGGGCCTAATGTGCAGTATCTGCTCACAGGATGTGTGACAGAGATCTAGTCATTAAGTATTGTTTTGGATAGCAGAAGGATTCGGGGTTTCCCCAAGATTACACAGGGGCAAATCCATGAATAAATGAATATTTTATGGAAATTAAAAGAGGAAAGACTCACAGATGGCTGATTTGAATCTGTGTCTGTGTTTATGTGTGAGAGACAGGGGTCGATCAAGAGTGAGAGGTTGTGTCTATGAACAAGTGCCCTCCACATGTGTGTGCACTGCTTTTGCGGGTGCAGGTCTGTCGTGTGTCTCTGTGTATCTGTGTCTTAGTCACCAGCTGTGAAATTCAATTGCGTACATCAGCGACACACGCAGCTGTCTGTTTGGCAGAGTTTCCCTCCTTCTGAACGCTAAAGCAATTTCTGCTGAGCTGTGACAGATGATGGGGTTCATTAATCAGTGTCATTCTGTGTGTAAAGCATTTAAACTGTGCTTTCAAAGCCAAAGACTTTGGCAAAGTAATTGCTCAACTAATACTGTTGGTTGACAACCACATCAACCCACACAGAAATACTACTGTGTTTGTACTTTTATCTAATTTAATTCAGTATTTTTCAAATGTATCAAGAAATGTGGGAGATTGAAATGCATAACAGCAACACACAATTTTTAGAAGGTGTTTATTTATTCATTCATAATTTATTTCACTGCTACAGGGACTGAGGTAAATCTGTTTGCACAGTCACACTGTGGGGACCTGATGTCCTTTTAGGGACAAAAAGCAAGTCCCCAAAATGCAAATTACATTTTAGAGTGATGACTTGGTTTAAAGTTAGAGTAAGGTTAGGTTTAGGGAAACAGTTGTTATGTTAAGGTTAGGGTAAGTCTCCAGGAAATGAATGTAATCTAATGTAATGCCCCCTGAAGTGATGGAACCACAACATGTGTGTGTGTTTGTGTGTGTGCTGGATGTAGTATGCCTTGGAAAGCAAGCTAGTATCCAGTATCTTGACTAACATGACATAAATTATTTTGCTGTGCATGTGTATAGACTGTACAGTGTGCTGTGTGTGTTTGGTTACCTCTCTGGGTATGTGTCCATGGTACCAGCCATGGCTCCTGATGTCAGCAGGGCTCAGTTTCAGCTCCTCCTCCAGCTCCTTACGAAGTTTCTCGGGCGGAGACTCCAGCAGGTACTTCTCTTTGGAGAACTGCATGGAGCATATAAGCAGAGGAAAACATGACACCAGTGGGAGACGCATCACATTTAGCTCACACAGCATATTCACATGAAATGGACCACAAATAGGATGCACAGTCTACTGTATGTTTAACTTTTATTTATTCAGGTAAATCCCACAGACTGGTGAACACTATTAGGACATACACATACTGTATATAAAGTCTTAAAGTGGAATAATAGTTGTAGTATAATGATCTAAGATGAGCGTATGGTTCTGCTATAGCAGAGTGTTGGTTACACAGACATACAAAAATATACACTTGTGTTACAGAAGGCAACACTGCAGGGAAGCACCAGTGTGCCTTCCTCACACACATGCACACAATCCCATATTTACACACACACACACACACATGCATTAAACAATCCAATCAACCCTGACCTGATTACTAAGAGGCAGAAATCATCATAAGCAAGCTCTTATGCACTGTGGAGACCTATAGCATTAGCTTTTGAGTGTGGCCACTCAGGATGGCTTGTACTAATGCCTGATACACACACACACACACACACACACACACACACACACACTTGTAAACAAAAATGGATATTTCAGAATTCACAGCTTCATCTTTCTATTTCTGCAAAAAAATCTGGGTTGTAAAACATGAACATAAATTACACAGAATATGTTCATGGCTATTTAACTACAAGTACTCCACAAAGATAATGAGAGATGATAACAACACAAGTCCGATGTCTTAGGTCATATTGATACCTGGATTGGATGAATCCACAGTCTGAGAGGCTAGGAAAACAGCCCTGTGCTTGGTCTACCTAGTGTTTATCCACATATCATGCATGATTCATTAGGTCCTCTACGTTTTTCATTAACTGCTGAAAATAGCACATCTTCACGGAGCAGATCTACTTAAATACAATTTGCTTATAAGGAAGGAAAAATGAGAAACCCCACACTGGGACCTTGATGTTATGTGAAGACACCATAACGACTGGTGATTGTGGAAAGATTGAGTTCAGATGGATGATTGTAGATGAGGCAAACAGAGGACACACAAACACAAATACGCACAAAACACAGAAATCCACACAGGAATAAGCAGCAAAAGGAAATCGTCTTGACTCTGTCAATATGAAGAGAAATGAGACTGGAGACGAAAATAAACAGTAAACAGCCTTGTCGCTAGGACTAGCCTGTCACCCCTTCTAATATTTTCCTTCAATCTCTCACTCTCTGTCACTGGCTCAGCACTTTTCTCTCACTTTCTCCCACTCACGTTTTCCCCTCTGGCCCGTAGTTCACCTTTCTTTCCTGTCATTATCTTTCATAATCATAAAGTTTCAGTAAGTTGTCAGACTATTGTTGAATGTGTGAACAGACAGAGAGACAATGTAAGAGAGCGTTGGCAAGGATGGGAAACTATGATAATCTGTGTGCACTGTGTGTTTCCACCTGTCTCTGTGTGTGTATGTGAGATATGAGGAGGCTACAAGAACCAAAATTATCAATCTTATTATCTCCAGGTCACCGACTGATAAAATTATTAACACTCCCCTCTCCTCGCCTCTTCTCCAGTCCTCAGGGGATGATGGAGGAATATCGCCATGGAGGCTCACTCTCCCAGATTAGATTTGAGGTGTGTGAGTGTGTGTGTCTGTGTATGAAGGGGAGAAGAGGCCAATAAAAGAGCAGAGGGGTCAAGTGTGCCGTTATTGCTGTTCCATGTCTTCTGGGAAACCCAGGAGAGGCCTGTCAATGAACTGAAGCTCAAGAATGAACTTGTATATAAGCTGTATATATAGTGATTTGGATTTATATATTAAGGTGAAATAGAAAGTATATGACAACATGTGTGTTTGACATGTTTTTTTCTCAGTGAAAGTTCGTTTTGGGGTTCTTTGTAAAATTAAAACAGTATTTTCTGAATGTTTATTACACTAGGAAACATCTTCTTCTCATGATTCAAACACCACTACAGAGATTTTGTGTGCTGTAGTGGCAGAGTGGCACGTCTCAGAGAGATCAAAACAGAGATAAAGTGAAGACATAAGAGCTCAGAAAAGGTAAAAATAAAGAAAAGAACATTCGAATCAGGAAAAATGTGCTGACTGATGACAAAATGGGGAAGACACAAAGGAACTAAGTACAAAACGGATGAATCTACATACATCAATATGATATTACAAGTATTATTACAATGACTAGGTGCATGCCACTCCTTAAACCCCACAACGCTGAGTCCTTGGTTGCCATAGCAACATCTTATCATATTTGTTGGGCTCCCGGTGTGTAAAGAAGAAAAGTCTCCCTTCTTTCATCTACTAGGGTAGCAGTCTGATGAAACAAAGCCCGAACTATTCAGCCACAGTTCCCAACAGTGTGGGTGAAAAAAAACAAGCACTGAGCATCACCTCATAAATACTGTACCATCCCTACAGTCACACACGGCGGTGGCAGCATCAGGCTGTGGGGATGCTTTTCTGTCACTGGGACTGGGGGACTAGTCAGAATACATGTAAAAAAAAATGTAGAGCAATTCTGAATGAAAACCTTCTCCAGAGTGTTTAGGATCTCAGGCTGGGGTGAAGGTTTACATTTCAACAAGACAACAACCTGAAGCCTACCGCCAAGAAAACGCAGGACTGGCTTCAGGAAGACTCTGTGAAAGTCCTGGAGTGGCCAAGCCAGAGTCCAGACCTGAACCCAATAGAGCATCTGGAAAGACCTGAACATGGCTGTGCACCAGCTCTGCCCATCCAACCCAGTTTTCCAACCTGATTCTGCCAAGACAAATGAAAGAAAATTCCAAAAAAAGGAGCCAAGATTGTCGTTTCATTCTCAAGTAGACCCGAGGCTGTCATTGCTGCCAAAGGTGCTTTAGCCAAGCACTGAGTGAAGGGTTCTCAATACTTATGTAGACGGGATATTTCAGCCTTTTATTCTTTTAAATACATTTTTAAAACACTCAAAAAAAACTGCTTTCACTTTATCATTGTGGACTATTGTGTGTAGACTGATCCATTTAAGATGAGTCTGCAACGTAACATATTGTGGAAAACTTGAAAGGGTCTGAAAACTTTGCACACTGACTGTATGACTCTTAGTACTTTTTATCATTTCCATAACTGCTATTATTATAGTTACTACTACTGTGGTTAATTTTATTGGTATGCATGCATATTACTAATTCTACTACTACTACAGCTTGTGTCCATACTATCAGATATATAAATACAAATGTAAGCAGCGTTCTTTGCTTTGTAGTGTATTTCCTGTTTGTTTAGTAGAAACATAGGTGCTTCTTTGAAAGGGTATATTGAAAGCACTGATCCCTGAAAACAGCAGTCATATAGAGTAATAAAGAATGTTAGAACAAAACAAAGAGACCACCAGTGTTATGAAGCTATAGCAGACTGAGCAGAGGGGAACAGAAGCAGACAGGCTGCAGAAGCAGTCAGAGACAGACAAAACAGCCAGTATAGTTTACATAAAGACAAGACATCAGACATTCAGGAAGGCACAGAGACAAGACAGACAACAGAAACTCATTAATGTAGACAGAGAGTCAGACATGCAGGAAGACAGGTAACCCATTAGCAGATGAGAGTTTAGGCAATTTACCAGCGGATGCAGGACCTTGCTTCCCCTGGGGGAAGCAAAGCAAAGTGCCAATGTGCACACATGTAGATCTGTGTGGGTGTACATTCATCCATCTACTGTAGTGCATATGTATGTGTGAACTTTACATGGGTGGCACTAATAATGAGTGGGACTCAATTTTGGGTGACAGCTGAGCTGGAGAGAAAGTAATAACAGGTTACCAAAGATAAGATCACTGCTCTGATAGAGGAAGGCTTAAACCATTTTCAGATAGGATGTGATGGCTTTGCTATGGAACCCATTCATTTCTTGTGCAGTGCAAGAATGCATTTGTGTTGCGCCGAGCTGAGCACAGGGCAAAGTCACATGTGCCGTCCCTGTGGCCTGTGCTGAAGTTAATAGAAGTTCAACTGGGGCGCAGCTCTCTGTGATGACACCTTGATGTGTCCAATCGCAGAGAATTTGACAGACCACAAAGAAATTGGAGGAGAAGCTGATTCTGGTGGACCCACATCCTCTTCTTCTTTGCTGCAGCTGGTCTCCTCCTCATCATCAATACAACTAAAGCCAGAGCTTTTTGCTGATATGTAGATAGATACATTGTGCATCCAAGTCCGCTGCTCAAAAAACTAGTTAATATCTGCTAACCACCTCCTGGAAAGCTTTTTGGTTGCCTAGCAACTGGCGGCCAACATGCACGCAATTTGCGCGTGTGCACCCTTCTCCCCTGTGCTGCACCCAACCCCCTGTGGTGAGCGCAGAGCCTTCCGCTTCCTATGTGAAAACGGCTTTAGATGTATTCATAACATGGGGGTGCACTATATAGTTTGAATGGAGGGGAGTCAGGAAATATGCTGCGTGGGTTCTAGGTGTATGTGTGAATAGCACAGTGTGATCCATCACCTAATTTACACCCACATACACTTGAGCATTTGAGCCCCTTTTCCCTATAGCGGGCCAATTAGAGGGTTTCATGACACCCCCCACCACCATCACCACACACACACACACAAGTGAAAATTGCCACAGCTATAACTCAACATCAGTAAGAAACCACCTTAAGAAAAAGGAATGATAATGGGAAGAAATTCTAAATATATGCACATATTTATACATACATTATCCACACATGCATGTTGTTGACTGCGTTTGTTTTGTTGTGTGTTCAGTGCTGAACTGGTTATTTCTGTGTTTGTTACTTTGTACACTTTCAGCATTCTGGTCAGTGCAACTGTGCAAAGTTTGCAGTTGTTATACAGTTAAAGATATTTGATTAAGCAAACAGAGTATTCACTGATTTCAGATTTAACAAAAATTAATCACTTTACAACAGAAACAGCCTCATTGAAAGTGCAAGTTGAAAAACATACAGCCATGGGTATGTACAATAAACATTACAGTGGGGT